GAAAAAATTCATATTAACATTGTCGTCATTGGTCATGTTGATTCTGGTAAATCAACATCAACTGGTCATTTAATCTACAAATGTGGTGGTATTGATAAACGAACAATTGAAAAATTCGAAAAAGAAGCTACTGAAGTATGTATTTATGATTACGAATCTCTGTTAAATATAATCACATTTTTGTACTAATCTATGTTTAGATTGGTAGAGGTTCATTCAAATATGCTTGGGTATTAGATAAATTGAAAGCTGAACGTGAACGTGGTATCACCATCGATATTTCACTTTGGAAATTCGAAACAGCAAAATACTATGTTACCATCATTGATGCTCCAGGTCATCGTGATTTCATCAAAAACATGATTACTGGTACATCACAAGTATGTATCTTCTTTGCTTTCTATAATATCTTTAACTATAGAAGTTTCTCTGTATTGTTTAGGCTGATTGTGCTGTTTTAGTTGTTGCTGCTGGTACTGGTGAGTTTGAAGCTGGTATCTCCAAAAATGGTCAAACACGTGAACATGCTTTACTTGCTTATACTTTGGGTGTCAAACAAATGATTGTTGCTGTCAACAAAATGGATACAAGTGAACCACCATATTCAGAAAGACGTTTTGATGAAATCAAAACTGAAGTATCAGCCTTCATCAAAAAGACCGGTTATAATCCAGCAACTGTTGCTTTCGTACCAATCTCAGGTTGGCACGGAGATAACATGGTTGAAGCAACTGAAAAAATGCCATGGTACAAAGGATGGGCAATTGAACGAAAAGAAGGTAATGCAAGTGGTAAAACACTTTTGGAAGCTCTTGATGCTATCGTTCCACCATCACGTCCAACTGAAAAGCCACTTCGATTACCACTACAAGATGTCTACAAAATTGGTGGCATTGGTACAGTACCAGTTGGTCGAGTTGAAACTGGTGTTCTCAAACCAAACATGGTTGTTAACTTTGCTCCATCAAACTTACAAGCTGAAATTAGATCAATTGAAATGCATCATGAAGAACTCAAAGGTAAATATTTATAGTTTGTTAATTGATAGATATATGTT